ACGTGGCCATGCCGAGCTGCTGTCCTGCCTGTTACCCCGTGTGGTCGGCATGTGGCCATGCCGAGCTGCTGTCCTGCCTGTGACCCCGTGTGGTCGGCACGTGGCTATGCTGAGCTGCTGTCCTGCCTGTGACCCGTGTGGTCGGCACGTGGCCATGCCGAGCTGCTGTCCTGCCTGTGACCCGTGTGGTCGGCACGTGGCCATGCCGAGCTGCTGTCCTGCCTGTTACCCGTGTGGTCGGCACGTGGCCATGCCGAGCTGCTGTCCTGCCTGTTACCCCGTGTGGTCGGCACGTGGCCATGCCGAGCTGCCGTCCTGCCTGTGACCCGTGTGGTCGGCACGTGGCCATGCCGAGCTGCCGTCCTGCCTGTGCGCACCCAGACTGGCCGGTCCTGTCAGTACGTCCACTGCCTACCCTGATACTGACCCCACCACACCTGACCGGTCGGTGCGGCTACAGTCTGAACCTTCCGGTTCCTTTCGAAACAGTCCACATCCAATTCCTTACCCGTCTGTTGATGGGATCTATCCGGTCCTGTGCTCGCTTGCTCCGGTCCCCTGCCTGTCTGTTGATGGGATCTATCCGGTACTGCGCTCGCTTGCTCCGGTCCGCTGCATGGTCCATGCAGTCAAGTGTATCAACTATCTGGCCCCTCTCATTCTGTATGTTCCCCACCTCCTGTCCGACCTTTCCGCGCGGCCGCCTCACCGCTCCGACCAGTGTGTGTGCGTCTTCTCTGTTCGAAAGGCCCGCTCCCTTTCTGGGCGGAGTCGACCTCTCAGGCCTGAATCGACCCCTACCAGGCCTGCACGTGCCCCTGCCTGACCGCCTGATCCCTCCTGACCCGCCCAGACCACGGCCTGTTGTGGCCGGCCCCTCAGGCCTGAGTCGACCCCCCCAGGCCTCACGTGCCCCTGCCTGACCGCCTGATCCCTCCTGACCCGCCCAGACCACGGCCTGTTGTGGCCGACCCGACCGGTGTGGAATATTCCCTGGTTATGGGGCTGACATATTCTGTTGATATCGAAGGCCTTGAATTAAAACAGATCCCTTAGCGTGCGATCTGTTTTATGTCAATTGCAGGCGCACAAACTAAAAAATGCAAGGTTCTTAAAACGGGCCTCTCGCTCCCCCTTCTCCGTCCTATAAAGCCACCTTTGACTTCATACAGGTACTGAAATTAGAAGCATAAATGTCAATCAAAGGTATCCTGGTGGTTTACCTAGGATAAACCACCAGGTTTTATGCTTTGTTTCAAGCGGTTCGTTAACTGAATTTGAAGTTAACAAATACACAGACATGCCATGAGCTGTTGCTGCACAACCCGAATGTGGAATGGTACGGGCACACGGCGCAGGAGCAGGGTAACAAACAAAAACAAATATACAAGCGACCGGCGTTGTACTGTGTGGCATGCCATTTGTGCAGTTGATCATGGGCGAAGAAATAGGGGGCACGGACATTACCAAATTTTTGGTTAGTTTGACACTGACCGTGGTGACGTTTACATGGTTGTACATAACACGACTCCATTACATTACGATTGGAAAACGAATTTCCCCTAGGCTTGTTTGGACGTGCCTCATGCCCCTTCGCTCGTTCGTTGTACTGATCGTCTCTGATAAGGCTCTTGGTCTCATTGGGGTCCTTACACGTCTGTCGGTCATTTCGACCATCACAGTGATCATCACATCTTACCCATCATATTTTACCCAGATGATCACGTCATACCCTCGCTCATTAAGAATCAACCAGACACACAACGGCGACTCTCTTTCGGAGTCCTTGGTGTCACTCAGCAGAGCAGCATATGCGCTTTGTCTCTAGCGGTTGGGGTGTGTGGGGTACGGCCCGAGTGGACTTCTGACACCACAACACCACGTGGTATGACGGCGATATCTCCTGTGGTTTTGCCTACTCATTCAACCTTGGGACTGTGCCAGGAGTGACGTCGCTGCGGCCCGGCCGGCTGCAGTGTGCATCCTGGCATTCGACGGTCTGTGGTGTCTGCAGTGTTGTAGCCGCGTGCATCGTTGTGCAAGACAAGTGTCGGGCTGTACGGCAGCTGGCGGGTCGTGCCAATCCTCGCTGCGCAGTTACTCCCTTTATTTTTACGTTTATTGTCAGTCATAGCATGCTTGTGAATACAACGTGTGTAGTAGTCAATAGTCGGAGTTACAGAAACAATTTAGGTTGTTCCGATATCGGGAATAAGTGCGTGCTTTGTCTCCACTCTTCTTGCGCCCATGACTGGTCGTGGGTATTGATAGCTTCAATTGGGTATGGTAGCCCAGGGGCGACAGATAATCACCGGGATAACACAAATGCCGGTAGGTAAGGGTGCGAGTGTGGGGAAGGGGGCGTCCTCTGTCTTTGAGAAATTCTATCATTGCCGTGGGAAAAAAACGCAAAAAATCGCCCTTGTATTCCCCTCCTCCGCTCCCGGAGCCGTGCTAACGTCATGCGATGTTCATGTTTTTATGCTTAATGCGTCTGCTCATGCTGACTTTGTGGATACCATGTTTTCGGATGAGCGACAACGACGCGACACATTCAAACTGTGGCAGGATAATAATCACCTTTTGGGTACCCAAGGTGAAATAGATAAATACACTGTAAACGTTAGTCGTTATTTGTCCGGGGCAAATGACAGCGCAAAAGACGAAATCTACATTTTTATATGCGGCAACGCTGTGACCTTACTTCGGTACGGCCCTGGGCCCGTCTGCACTCCTGCTTTGCAACAACTGTTGTCGGGCCGGGCGGTGACGTGGCGTGTCTGCAGACACCGGCCTCAGGACCGCCCCCGCGCCTCTTCCAGCGGACACAGCTGGCTGCCATGTCGGGCTGGCGAGCGTTCATGGCCTGCCTGGCCATCCCCGTGCGCATTGTGAAGGCTTTTGCTCCCGTCGGACGCGCCGCCGTCGCGCTGCTACGGGTGCTGATGGCCATATTGTATGCTAGCTATGCGATCGCGCTTTACACGGTTGATTGCATGGCGGCGTGGGTGGCTGAGTGCCGGGGAAATACAGTCTGTGCGGAAGACAGAGAGGACAGGGAAGAGAATGACGAGGAGGAGGCCGCCCTCCTGCGTGTGGATTCGGAGTGTTGAGTGAGTCGGCGACGGCGGACGGGTACACATGATTGTTGCGTTGGACAAGACCCAATTGGTATCGAAGCTCGCCACCACGTGATATGGTAGCCGGAGGTGCGCCATGGTGGTGTGATAAATGGTCAGATTACTTGTGATTGGTGGTCAGATTACTTGGACCCGATTGGTATCGAAGCTCGCCACCATGTGATCTGGTAGCCGGAAGTGCGCCATGGTGGTGTGATTGATGGTCAGATTACTTGGACCCGATTGGTCTCGAAGCTCGCCACCATGTGATCTGGTAGACGGAGGTGTGCCATGGTGGCGTGATTAGTGGTCAGATTACTGCAGGCGAGTGTCGTTGCTCTACTGAAGTGATCCGGCTATCGCTAGCGACTACCAAAGTGGCGAACTTTATTTAACCAGTTGTGTCTAAGAAATGGTAAGGAACTCCGGCTTCCTCGATAGCTCTGAGCCAGCCGGTGCTAACGGTCGGTCGTTCTCCCGCGACCAGGTCAACGGGGTCAGCAGCGGGCGTCTGGCGGTCTGAGCCAGAACTACCTGACGCCGTACGGGAGCGGACTGGGCTCGGCGGCCGGCTCCCAGGTTGGCCAAAGCCCGTACATGTCGGCCGCCTACAACTACGGCGGTGGCGGCACCGGCCTGGCGGCGCCGCCTCTCAACCAGACCGCCTATTCGACCGGCTCGCAGCAGGTCAGTACGCCACGGGAGGGGTCAGGCACACATCAGGCTGGGCCGGCTCGCAGCAGGTCAGTCCGGTCCGGGAGGGGTCAGGCACGCATCAGGCTCGGCCAGCTCGCAGCAGGTCAGTCCGGTCCGGGAGGGGTCAGACACTCATCTGGAGGGAAGCACAGGTCAGCCGTTACGGAAAGGGTCAGGGAGGAATCGGGATAGAGTCCGGGTTAACTGGGTCACAGGAGAGATCAGGGAGGGATCGGGGTAGAGTTCGAGTTAACCGGGTCACCGGAGAGGTCATGGAGGGATAGGGATAGAGCCCGGGTTAACAGGGTCACAGGAGAGATCAGGAAGGGATAGGGATAGAGCCCGGGTTAACTGGGTCACAGGAGAGATCAGGAAGGGAAAGGGATAGAGCCCGGGTTAACTGAGTCACAGGGGGACCAGAAAGGGATCGGGGTTGAGTTCGAGCCTACTAGGCCGCGGAAGTGGTCAGGGAGAGATCGGGGTAGAGTCCGGGTTAACTAAGTCACGGGAGAGGTCAGTGAGGGATCAGGGTAGAGTCCGGGTCAGCTGGGTCACGAGAGGGGTCAGGGAGGGATCGGGAGAGCCCTGGTCAGCCGGGTCACGGGAGGAGTCAGTGGGAGTGAGGAAAGGAGAACAGATCAGGGAGGGATCGAGGGGGATCCAGGTCTGTCGGGTCAAGGGAGGGGGGGGCTCGGTGAGGGATCACGTCAGGTGTTGGTGGGGTGGGGGGGGGGGGGAGGGAAGAGGGCACAGGTCAGGCGGGAAGGGGGTTTCCGAGTGGGTTGGGTTTGGGTCAAGTCGGGAGCTTAGGCCACACAGGTCACGGAAGGAGGTACAGAACCTCAGGCTGAGGGAGGATGCTCGGACTAGCTGGGTGAGAGTAGCGAAAATAGTTCAGCCAGGTCAGACGATTCAAAGTGGTGACGGCGGAAAGTAATCATCGGGTGAATCAGAAGGTCAAAGGGGTCGGAGCTTGACATCCTCTTCTGAGGGGAGGGGGTGGCATGGGAAGTGTTCAGAGGTTGGCGCTCAGAGGTTGGGGAGTTCATGCGGTCGTGGTAGTCCATGTGATCATGGATCCAGTGTCAATACAGGCGAACGTTTTACTGTCCACAGCGCACCGTCTCAGTCTCCAATTAGTCGCTTCTGACCTTAACCGCAATTCCCCCCCCCCCCCGGCAAACCAGCACATAACCTCTTCAAACTGACAGCCGTGATGGTAGAGAGCTTACCATATCACAATTCACAACGTCGTGATGTTGCGGTACATCTTGAGGGATGTCCCATATCACAATTCACAACGTCGTGATGTTGCGGTACATCTTGAGGGATGTCCCATATCACAATTCACAACGTCGTGATGTTGCGGTACATCTTGAGGGATGTCCCATATCACAATTCACAACGTCGTGATGTTGCGGTACATCTTGAGGGATGTCCCATATCACAATTCACAACGTCGTGATGTTGCGGTACATCTTGAGGGATGTCCCATATCACAATTCACAACGTCGTGATGTTGCGGTACATCTTGAGGGATGTCCCATATCACAATTCACAACGTCGTGATGTTGCGGTACATCTTGAGGGATGTCCCATATCACAATTCACAACGTCGTGATGTTGCGGTACATCTTGAGGGATGTCCCATGGCGCAGCGCCTCGCCGTCCACGAGCCCATCAAGTGGTCCGCAAGTCTATATGCGGCGTGTCTCTATATGGGCCAACCCTTCAGCTTCCTGCTGTGAGTGCAGCGGTCGACCCAGCCGCCTGCGAACCCAAGCCAGCAGCGGGACTGACCCAGCTGCGCCGCCTGCGAACCCAGGCCGGTGGCGGTGCTGACCCAGCTGCGCCGCCTGTGAACCCAGGCCGGTGGCGGGGATGAGCCAGCTGCGCCGCATGCAAACCCAGGCCGATGGTGGTGCTGACCCAGCTGTGCCGCCTGCGAACCCAGGCCAGTGGCGGGACTGACCCAACCGTGCCGCCTGCGAACCCAGGCCGGTGGCGGTGCTGAGCCAGCTGCGCCGCCTGCGAACCTAGGCCGACGGCAGAACTGACACAGCTGCGCCGCCATGACCTCGCGCTGACCTCAAACCCGTCCGTCGCCAGGTCGCCGCCGACTACGGCAGCTACGGGGCATACTCGCCGCAGGCTTTTCTACTACGGGGGCCAGCGGGTTCGGCTCGTACATGTCCCCGGTAACGGCTGGCGGCAGCCACACGCTCTCGGGTAGCTGTACTCCGAGCTCAACGCAGACGTACCACCTGTCGCCGCTGCCCGCCCGTCTCGACGCCCGAGGGTAGGGTGTCTCCGCGCTCGACGCAGACGTACCCACCTGTCGCCGCTGCCGCCCGTCTCGACGCCCGAGGGTAGTGCATCTCCGCGCTCGACGCGAGTTCACCTATCGACGCTTCTCGCGCCTCGACGCCCGAGGGTAGGCATCTCCCGCGCTCCGGCACCCCACCCTGAGCTCGACGCAAGACGTGCACCACCTGTTGCTCCGGCACCCCACTCGAGCTCGACGCAGGCACACTGCGCTCCGGCACCCCACTCCGAGCCGACTGTCGCTTCCCGGCACCCCACTCCGAGCTCGACGCAGGTGCACCACCTGTCTTTTCGGCACCCCACTCCGAGCTCGACGCAGGTGCACCACCTGTCGCTCCGGCACCCCACTCCGAGCTCGACGCAGGTGCACCACCTGTCGCTCCGGCACCCCACTCCGAGCTCGACGCAGGTGCACCACCTGTCACTCCGGCACCCCACTCCGAGCTCGACGCAGGTGCACCACCTGTCGTTCCGGCACCCCACTCCGAGCTCGACGCAGGTGCACCACCTGTCGCTCCGGCACCCCACTCCGAGCTCGACGCAGGTGCACCACCTGTCGCTCCGGTACCCCACTCCGAGCTCGACGCAGGTGCGCCACCTGTTGCTCCGGCACCCCACTCCGAGCTTGACGCAGGTGCACCACCTGTTGCTCCGGCACCCCACTCCGAGCTCGACGCAGGTGCACCACCTGTTGCTCCGGCACCCCACTCCGAGCTCGACGCAGGTGCACCACCTGTCGCTCCGGCACCCCACTCCGAGCTCGACGCAGGTGCGCCACCTGTCGCTCCGGCACCCCGCGCACTTGCGCGTACAGACTCGCCTTCCATGGCCACCCGCAGGTCGGACGGCTGAGCTCCGTCGGTACCCCGCTGGATGGGTCAACCAGAGCAGACCCCATCTCTCATTCAGACGGGGATGGTTCACTGTTGTTTCCAGTAGTTCACTGTCGCCTCGTTCGAATGAGTGCTCCATGACCGTGTTTAGTGTACCACGCACATGCGCCAGTGAGGCTCCTGACCGCGAGTTCAGATTCAACACGAACTTTCTCGGTGCAAGCAATGCTTGCATGGTAATGTAGCCCAACCAGAACTTTCTAGTGTATTGAAGGTCGTTTACCTCCGCCATAAGAGCTCACAACTTTGTAAATGTAATGAAAAAAGATCAAAACGGCACTTATTTAAATGCATCACATTGAAGCGCATGCTTGGCGCGCAGCAACGGCTTGGAAGAAGCTCGTTTTCCTTTTAACCTTTAAATGGCAATGACTTATCAATAAGATTGTTTCCAAAGGTGCATGATGCGGCATTCTTTCTGCAATGGTCCCATCCAGTCACTTTTGCTCTTGGTCATCATTCTTTTGTATCACCAATCACTAATCATGGAATAGATTACGTCGCTTTACGGAAATGTGCGAGGTCAGATTAGAAAAGATGGCAGTTGGTGAAAGCGGCCTTGGAAGTAATCGCGAACGTCTTTCAGGATCCGAGTTCTCTGAGGCTGGAACATTCCTGTACCACTCGCCAACGCTGGGCACCGGCCGGCGGAGACGCAACAGTAACGGAAGTGAGTCGCTTCCGGTCCGACTGGCATCACGTGAACGGCCGGCATGTCACGCGGCGGCAGTTGTCAGACCACCTGTCTGTTTTGGCTGTGTTTAAACAGCCGCCTTCCACTTGCAAGCTATCGCCGAACTCCTTGGCGACGCAGTGTGGTGGGAGCAGGAGTGCGCGGGCTGTTCCGCTGCTGCCAGCCGGTTAAGGGGAGCTGCGTGGGACGCAGTGGCGGCCATCAATGCACTGGGGCTACGCCAGCTGTTTATGCTGCTTATTGGGTGGACTAGGGCTGGAAAGTAATGGGTTATCATACAGTTATCAGAAGTCAGGCGGAAGGGTGGCGTTCCGTACGTTAGCTATTTTTTATGGGGAGTGGTGATGGATACGACCTTCAAGCGTGTTAATACCCACCCCGTATTTGCCCTCGAATAGGCATCATTTTTCGAACATTATGATTGGACGGCCTTCCTGCATCAAGGTTCTCGCCAAATACCGCTTGTTGCGTGAACCTTGAACCCGCCACCCGGTCGTGCAATTCTGGTGCATAATTTTGTGGCGAAGTTTAGCGTACCGTAACGCGCGCCACTGTTCGCTCCGACACCTGAGCCCCATCTCCCGCCACTGCTTGCCCGCCCCCTGACCTCATTGAACGCCATTGTACGCCCCGCCCCTTGACCTCATCTGACACCACTGTCCGCCCCGCCCTCTGACCTCATCTGACACCACTGTCCGCCCCGCCCTCTGACTTCATCTCACGCCAGTGTCCGCCCCACCCTCTGACCCAATGCGCACGGCTGTCCGCCCCGCCCACCGACCTTATCTGACCTTGCTCGGCCACTGCCACCGGCTGTAGGTCATCTTAACGAGGACCAAATAGCGAGGAGCGCAAAAGCGACTGGAACTAACCCTTCCGGCTATGGCTAGGCTGGAAGACAGACGCTCTAACTGATTGAGCGACGGGGGCGAACTCTTGCAGCGTGACATCCCGCCGCAGCGAATGGTTTCAATTTGCGGTTTTCGAACTGTTATCAGGACAGGGACAGGTGGCTCAGATAACCCTATATTGTAGCTCATAAAGGATGTGTCGCCGTCGATATTGTGCTTTATTTTTAGTATCTGCTGGTTTTCGAAGCTCTGGCCTGAACCCCTGCAGTATCCAGCCAGAGCAAAAACATTTTTCGATAAGTTCTTAGGTGACATATCGCATTTAAGCATGTGAATATGTTTCTGAAAATCTGTTTGCATAAGTTGTGATTCGAAACCACGAGCATGTTTTTTTGTTGCAAGAAATTTTGTCAGTTCCAACGTTCTTGGCCAGGGAGGAGCTGATTGAAACCACCTAAAACCGTGCAGATTCCCATTCAAATTGAAGAAAGCTTTGAACATACTTTAGAGCTGCGTTACCGAATGGTTTGGTATGGGCGTGACCTGACCTGACCCGTCTCGTGTCTGGCTGACACACAGACGGCAGCACCGGCCGACGACGTCGGCGCGGCGAGCCGTCACCCGACGACGAACTGGCGCAGAAGATCGACCGCATCTTCATCTGGGACCTAGACGAGACCATCATCGTGTTCCACTCGCTGCTGACCGGGCAGTACGCTCGCGAGAACGGCAAGGTCAGTCAGCAACAGCGTGCTATCGCGCCGTAGATGGCGAGTCACGGTACACTAACATTGGCGCAGCTGGGATAGGTTACTTAGCAATCCTCAGTTTTCTCGGGTGCTTGAGTCATTTGGTGCCCACTGCTCTACCTGAAGCTGGCTTCAGTGCGTCCGAGGCCCCGACACAGTGCAGCAGTCCTTCTCTCCAGTGGCACAGGCTGGGCTAGTGATCCTGACCGCTCCTGAATGACCCTGATCATTTCTCACTGATCTCGACCGGTCTCAGCAAGTTACGGGCTACCAAGGCCGTGATCAGTGACCCTGACTGCCTCTGTGACACGGACATTATCAGCGACCTTGACCGTGTCTTTGTGATACGGACACTTTCAGCGACTTTGGCAGCAGTGCCTTTGTGGCACTGACACTATCGATGGCCCTTACAGTGCCTTTGTGACTCGGACATAATCAGTGACCCGGATAGTGCATATAGGGCACTGCCAGGGTCACTATCAGAGAGGCTGGTGCTGCAGCTGAGCCGTGCCAGCCGCTCCCAGCCCCGCGGCCCCCGTCAGTGCCTGGACCGCCAAGATACTTTATATCCGTCGGCTCGTATGATGTTGTGAAGACGTCAGCGAGCAGAAGCAGGCCTCGCCCACGGATCGGCCCGCTGGCTCTCGTCTCCGGCCGCCGTTTGATGACATCGATCCATTACGGAGGGCGTGGGACGGAGGGGTCGTTACCGTCATTTGACACATGTGGTTGATTTTGAGAGGCGTCAGTTACAGCTGAGTGTTAGAAAATCAGGCGCATTATGTCCGAAGTATTAAGACGCGTATTAAACATCACTTATTCAAATGTTGATGCCTTGTGAAGCTCACCTTGGACTGGAGTAGTACTTCATTTCGCTGTCTCACCCACACACAGACGTTTTTGGAGGGATGATGTGATCGGAAGCATGGTGTCGGGGATCTAATGAGCACTCGACTGGGGTGAAAGGGATTTCGATAGATCGCACTCCTTACCAGAGACATCAGAGCGTTCCTTTTCCGGTCTCTCAACCAAGATCTTTTCTCCGTTTACGACACGCGATATCTGCCACCCGCGTCCCGGGCCCGCTTGGTGACACCGCAGGCCTCCTCGGCGGCGGGGGCTGGCCGTCGACGCCGCCGACGCGCGCGCGCGCGGATGCCTGCTGTCGCCGCCGTCGGCGCGGTATGCCGTCCTATTTGTGCGCCATTATTCTGGGCTGCCGCGCCGCGCGTTGTTGCGCCGAGTGGGCCGGCTCGTTCGTCGATCACGGCGACGCTCGCGACGCACCAGAATGCGGCGTGAACGGCGCAGTTGGCGGCGCTGGCGGCATTCTGGCGGCGCGCGCGCCGTGCGCGGCGGCGGCGGGGTAACAGCGCTGCCCTGTGTCCGGCCGGGCGCGGCGCGTCCCCTGCCATCAGCGATCTTGTCACGCGTCCCAGGCCGATGGATAGCCCGGCTGTGGAGGCTGTTGGCCCGAGCGAACGGCGGCCGGGCCTGCGCTGTGGTGAACCGCGCTTGTGCTACGCCATGCCTATCTGTGTTCTAAAATTATTGTCGTTCTGTAAAATTCAAAATCTTGGCTCTCATAGAGTCATATAAAGGTCCAGCACAGCCTGCATTTAACTTAATCATCAGTATGTAGAAAGATCTGCTGCAAGATAACGCACGCTTCCGGTGACAAAAGCATCTCGAACGAAACTGCTCGATTTCTGGTCACCCCTAACGGCTGCCTTGTCTTTAGTTTGCTCCATCCCCCACGACTAACTTTCTGAAACTTAGCGACACATCATATATATATTTATATTATGTATATTTGTATTATATATATGTATATATATATATATATATATATATATACAGACGCAGCACCCACGAACTTATATATATATATATATATATATATATACAGACGCAGCACCCACGAACTTATATATATATATATATATATATATATATATATATATATATATATATATACATATATACATCATATATGTGTTTCAAACCTTGGTCTCGAACTGATCAGCAGTTCGCAGGTGCTGCGTCTTTAAGCCACCAGACACTTGGACGGTTCTAGTTCTCGCCGTAACGTTTGGCTTTGCCTTGTCAAATCGGTGGCAGGTGACCGTGCGTGTTGTGTTGTTGCCGCTGGCTGTGGCCTTGCGGTGGTGGGCCGTCGGTCGGACCATCATAGCACGCCGTCCTGTGCGCCGAGCACGCCCCCCGTGGCGGCGTGACGTGCGCTTGACACGTGTTGTTGTTGGATGAGAGGGCCTAACAGGAGCGGGGCGTGCCCACCGGAGCGCCGCGCGCGCTCTCAGTGGCCGAGTCCGCCGTCGAACGTGTCGGAAGGACGCCAGCACTGCCTGCCGGAAGTGGTCGCTGCCAGGGCCGCGCCACGGAGCACATGTCACGCGGTGGAGGTGGAGAAACCAGTGGGGTGGGGTTGGGTTGGGGGGGGGGGGGAAACATGGGTCTCACTTATTGTGGCTTAAACATTCGTTGGGTTATGACCTCCCTCTACATCTATGTTATCAATGTCACTTTTGCAGCGTGTCCATTATTCGGGATTTCGGGTTTTATAGAATGTTGTGGGCTGGGCAAACCAATTTTATTAACGTATGGACTATCGAAGTTTCTTTGTAAGGGCTGTGCGATCCGACTGCGCCATTGATGCCTGTTGCCTCGTCTCCCTCGGCGCTCTCCACACCCTGGTTGTGACTGTACGGCGGGCCGTTCTTGGTCGCCAAGGCCCGGCGTCAGTGGTCGCCGTTACCAGCGTCACTTCGCACTCAAGGTGGCCTCTATCATCGAAGCCAGACCAGCGCCATTTGAACGTTGATATGAGTGGAAGAGTCGTCCCCTCCCCCCCCCCCCCCTCAGCCCGGCGCGGCGCCGCGTCCGTCGCCGCGCCGTCGGCCGCACAGCGAGGGGCGGGCCCCGACGGCGCGGTCCCGTCGGCCCCGACGCGCCGCGGGCGGCGCCGATCTGCGCCGCGTCATCGGCCGCGACAGCCTGTCATCGTGACGGCCGGCGTCGGCTCAAGGGCGGCGCAGCTTATCAAAGCCGGGCGCGGGCGGACGCCTGTGTTTTGTCTGGTGCACTTGGCGAACGCCCGACCTATGGCTTTCGGTTTGGCTAAAAGGGTTCGGGAGGAGAACAGGTTTGCTTCCTAGTGGGCAAAGATACTTACGGGCACCGTAATTAACGTTTCTGAATTATGCCGGTTCTGTTGAAAAATATGGAGGGCATACCGTTGTGTTAACGCGTTAAGCTACAGCACGCCGAAATGAAGCATGCCTGCGAATCTGCGGGGGTAGGTGGTTTTGTGACATTTCAGACATCAGCCCGCATGCATTGCAAAGTCTTTAAACTCCAGGCCTTGACAGCAACTGTTTGGATCGGGCTGCAATGTTTGGTTATAGTTAGTGATAAGCTTTTGTTTAGAGTAGAGGTTGTGAGGATTCCTTGTTTGTCATGAGAAGTGGGAGTTTGCCAAGAGTTCGGCATGCACTGCGTTTTGTTTGTCTTGCAGTGAGTGTGCCCCTTGAACCTTAATTTGATCTGACCCAATGGTCAGCATTCCGTGATCCATCGTCCGTTGGTGCTTAGGCTGCTCGCTTATGTTGCTCATGCTGCAGCCATCCATTTCTTCCAGACTGTAGCAGTCTGACCAGTTTTCCAGCGGACTGTTTTCCAGTCTGCTTTCGTATTTTGGGGCCTCTTCCCTTCCGGGCGGGGTTTTTATTGCATCCCTACAGATCCCAGCGCTGCGGCGCTCTTAAGGCTGCGACTCAGCGCACCTCCTCCCAGATTTGGGTGGCGCTGACCGCGGCCTGCGCGCGCCACCGCGCCGCCGGCTCCGATCACGCACCGCATTCCCGTGGCGATGGCCGGGAGGCCGGCTGAACCGTATGCGCTGGTCCAGCTCGCTATGTCTGTGGCGGCAGATGAATGCGTTCTCACGCCGTCCAGCGCCTCCGATCTTAATTGTAGTGAGGCGCGCCCTGCCCAATCGCCCCGAATCTAAATTGGCCGTCTCACGCTGGCGGATCATCTTGCTGTGGCGGTGGTGCGGCGTCTGGGAGAAGACCGCCGGGATGGAGGCTCCAGCCGAGTCTGGGAGGTGACCGCCGGGTTGGGGGCTCAAGCCGAGTATGGGAGGAGACCGCCGGGCTGGGGGCTCCAGCCGAGTCTGGGAGGAAACCGCCGGGTTGGGAGATCCAGCAGAATCTAGGAGAAGGTTGGGGGGCTCCAGCCGAATCTGAGAGAAGGTTGGGGGGCTCCAGCCGAGTCTGGGAGGAGACCGCCGGCTTGGGGGCTCTAGCCGAGTCCTATGAGCTCCAGCCGCCAGTGCCTGCTGGCTGGCGGTGGCGACTGATGACACACTGGCCGGAGCCGGCCTGGGCGGCCGGACTGACGGGCCCGGACGCGGGCGTAAACAGATCGTTAGTCGTCGTGCGTGCTGCCGGCCCGTCTGCGGCGGCGGGCTGCCGCCCGCCGCCCGCCGCCGGTCCGGTCCGCGCCACGCCGCCGGCCCATGGCTGCCCTCGCCACCGTGCCGCCGCGGCGCCGGCGGCGAGCTGGCGGCGTCACGCGGGGCTGCGGCCGGTGGCAGGGGGCGGCCGCTGCCCTGTTTCGGGAAACACGTGGCGTTGCCGGTGAGGCGGCGTGGCGCGGCCGGCCGGCGCCGTGTCGTGTGACGGCGCGGCCGTTTGAGTGACACTCGGAGCGGGACGGAGGCGGCGCCCAATTAAAGCGGTCGGCTCCAGTTACAACAACACGCGGCTAGAAATGCAGATTGGAGCCGACGGCCGGCCGCTGCCCGGTCAGCGCGCCGCGCCACTGCCGCAGCTGCCCGATCTCAATTGTGCCGGACGACGATGGCTGCCAGGTCAAAATGACGTTCCATTGTGGGAACTGGACGACCCGAATTGACCTACGGCGTGCTGGGAACCTGTGGGTTGTGCTGCCCCGCGCGGCGGCCGTCAGCATGCCCTTCTCCAGGGAATTCCCCCTCCCCGCTCCTTGGGAGAGTGCTCAGGTTTTCGGGAGATGGGAGCACGGGCAGAACCATATACTCTTGTACTTCGTCCTCACCTTTCCTGTGGGTTGTGTTTTCAACGTTGCCAGTGTAAATGTCTTTATCTCTGACCACGGCCTTATATTGACGAATTGCTTCCCTATCCGACACCACCGGTATCTTCCGTTGGCATCGTCTGCTGAAATAGCCGGCGTTCTTTGTGTGTCCTTGGCCTTAGCACCATGCTGCATCCTGTACCCGCGACCTATTACACTGCTCCCGCGCGGTGTACCCCCAGGGCTTGGCCTGGATGGCAACAAAAGGCTGCCTCGCCTCGGTAGCCGGCGGCGCTTCTGCAGCCGGCCTGTGTTGTGGCTTGTTTGTACAGATGGCTGGTATCAAGGAGCAGTCGGCCGATTTCCGACCCGGCAGCCGCTGCCAACCGGCTGCGCACTGGCGACATCTATTGATAAAATTTAGAAGCGTCGAATGTCGCTGGTTTCGGCCGCCTACTAATCCTTCGTTGTGGATGGGTTAATGTAATGTGACATTTTCTGTGGTGGTAGGAGCTATTTGTTCTACCGAACATTGATATGGCAGCCTCTCAACTTGAAAAGACCCCAAAACGATTTACAAAGCAAGATCAGTTCTTCCTTGTTCCCGAAGAAAAGAAACGCGATACGTATTGGTGGATTTGCGTTAGTGTAACCTGAATCGAATCATACGTCACTATTAATTTTAGCTTGGGTATCATGCTGGGACAAAATCACAGCATGTAGTTACAATTAATCGTGTAAGGTCCTGAGCACATAAAGCCGTGCGGCTGCGAAAGGTGACATGACCTTTGTTTTCCAAGTTCAACATTCCCAACACCGAGCCTTTCTAGCATTCTAGGAAGTTATTTACATCAATCGATCGCAAGGCACGTTGCAGCAGACAGTACGTATGATATGGCTGTGATCTGTTGCAGATTTATTAAGCGGCGCTGTTTTGTTTCGGCCACTCTGTGTTTGTTGAGTGGCACTGTGTTTGTCTCGGCCGCTCTGTGTTTGTGCTGGCGACAAACCCTGTCGAAGCTGGAGCTTTCTGACCCGGTCATTCATGCGTTTGATGTGTGGAGTGGTGCTATAAGCCGCACCATGTCTATTTATGTGCGGAAAACAACGGCACTAGCTTCAAGTAATAGTTCTAGATCGAGCCATGCCAACAAATCTAGTAGGTGTCGTTCGGCTCCACGGACCTGACTTAAATCCTGCTCTCACATGTTGATCAATAAATCATGATTGCTCTTGCTTGGGCAGGCTTGTTTTTCACGTCACTCCTGATGGATATGAGTTTACACTCGCCTTGGACTGGATCGCATGGTATAACTATCTGAAGCTATCGTTATGCTCTCAACAGCTACTGACGAAGATGATCTCACTCTTTTTCAGGACCAGGCGATGTGCTCCCAAATAGGCAGCAATTTAGAGACTCTAGTATTCACCACTGGCGAAGAACTGTTCTTTCTCAAGGAGCTGGACGTTGATGTGAGTATTTATACGTTTCACGTTATAGAAAAGAACCGGTCTATGCCACTTCGTATTCTTGTCTTCCGGTTGTCGCGTTTATCACACTAAACTGGTCACGACGTTTTAGGGAAGTGGAGTTATAGACGAATGTTTTTGTATCATAAATACGCTAGAAGTGGCGACATGTCCTGGTTCTTGTGCGGCAACGCATTTTTTGCTTTCAACTACGCGCAAAATTTTGGCTTTAGCGTGGACATGATAAAATACTAGCGCGCTGTGGAAGGGCCGAGCGGCAGCTCACCGTCATTACGGCAGTGCTGTTGGCTGCAGTGTGACAGCATCGGGGACCAACTGAAACGGTGACGAGGTTTCCAGTCGCTGTGCATTTGTTACACTCTTAACGCTGCGGTTCCAATTAAACTTTGAATGGGAAACAATTTTGTATTTCCAGCAATGCATGCAATACCTAACAATGAATCCATAAAAAAGTTTAAAAAATTAATTTGGTTCTTATCCGTGAATCATCCCTGAAAGTCAGCAAAACTTAAATTGCCAATAACATGCCAAGAAAATACAGATTTTGCAAAACTCCTGGATTTTGCACACCATTTGCCAACTAAATCACAGGTCATTTGGAACACTCCATGGCTTGTATGCTTATCTGATGGATAGAACTTCACAGGAAATTTCAAGCAGCACACACCTCCTGGATTGAATTGAAAGCATGATTCTGCACTGAATTTCCAATACATGTCTCTGAAATTCATAACAGCAAACCAATCCAATTTTCTGCAGCTGAGGCCTAATCGGGAAATTCTGTGACTTTACAACCTAATCATCCAAGCGATCCCAGCACAGTCTTGAAATAATCTCAGCAAAGGACGAAATCGGCGCGCAAGCTTAGTCGGTAGTTGTTTATAGAGCTCAGATGCACCAGATGATCTTCACTAACATGGCGTATGTACTAGCTCGTATTTGCTAGCCGTGTTTGAATGGATTATCTCACGAACAGTACTTGGGATTGGAATCATTTATGGCGCACTCGTCTTTTAGTAACCACTACGCCCACCTTCTATTACCTGTTATATGGCAAGACCTTCAATCGCCCGCCCCAGTCTACTGGCTCAGATAATAGTTTTCGATAAAAGTCGGCAGTTTCAATCAGTGTTTGCTGATGAACAGCACGTGTATGAATGCCTGCGTGCGAATCGCCAGATTGAGCGATTCTTTTGATGACCCTTATATTCAGGCTAGGCATATGTACCTGGAATTCATATATGGTCCCTTGATATGAGCCATGAAAAAGATAAAGAAGGTATGAATAGGTTTTAAGTTTTTTTTACTGCTTCTTGTTTTAGCACCAATCGTATAAGGTTGGGGACATGTACCTGGATTGAAAAATAAAGTTGGCGGGCCCATGCGGGCTATTTTTTTTGGGGGGGAGGACAGTTGCCTTACAGGGCGGATGCAGGCTTCCAAATTTACAAGCGGGATGGGTGCAGGTATTCGGAATTAAGAAGTGTCAGCTTTAATTGACACGAGAGTACGGCCGAGGACCCCATTCATGAAACCCTACATTGATCTCACGCCGGCCATTAGCAACAGGGCTCACCTGAAATCTATGCAACATTACGTAAACGACCCGAGCCCATGTCTGCACTGGAACGTTGCAAACTCACGGGTCTGTCGCTTTTCCCGACGCTGCTGCCACCTATTACGTGAGCTTTATCTTTTAGCCATTAGATGGCAGTAAATTATCCGATGCGGGCCGCCGTCACGTGAAGCTGTTTCCAGTCGTCGGCCGCCGCTGTGGGGGCGCTGCAGAACTTGACCAGCGTGTGTTGTTTCAGAGTCAATATCCGACGCACGTGGCCAACATTGATGATCTCCGTGCGGAGGATAACAACCAAGACCTCAGGTAAGCATATGCGCGTCCGTTTCAGCGTCGGTCACCCAGCCCGTTTGCACAGTTATTTCAACGAACCGACCAGCCACCGCGGGGTACAGGGAGTGGTCGTGTCTGATGCAGATTTCTAAGCTCTAAGATTCCATTTATCTCTGAGCATGTAGCCCTTTCTTGTCATTCTGACGAAATAGCCGAGTGTAGACGGCTTCTCGTGCAGCCTGTTGACTGTGTGATAAAGGACTGCCACCGCGCGGCAGTGTCCCTGGTTGCCGACATGTCCTAGCAGCTGTGTCCCCCGCGCGCTTATACCGCAGCGTCGCGTCAACATTAAAACGTCACATGGCTTCTCAGAATGGTAACGGCATTCAGATTTATGATTGCTTGCAGCTTTCCACCTCTGAGATCGACCTTGTATTCGAGCCGCAGTGTTCTCAGCTGAGTTCCGCATCTACGTTCGCACGACTTTCATGCAACAAGGCCAGCATCTCTGTCTGATCCACATTCCTGCGAGATATTCGGGAAGCAGGTGCGGTTAGCCTGTGCAGGCGTGTCGGCGGTATTCACAACGCAGCGCCACCCGTATAATACACGGCTTCCGTGTCTCGCGCCTGATTAATCCGCCCACTAAACCACAGGTGTGGCAGTGTGCCGACGAAATTTAGGCGGTTTGTGGTAGCTCCTGGTAGGAGAAACCCCGGGGCGGAGGGAGGGAGGGAGGGAGGGGCACCAGGGCCGACAAACTTTTTGATTATGTAATCAAAAGACTCGTACCAAATCTAAAAATCTGTTTATTTCCTCTATGATAGCGTTGTTTTGAGCGTAAAGAGAGCAGGACCGTAGCGCGGTGAAGAGCGGCTGCAGAGAGAGAGAGAGAGAGGGGGGGGGGGGAGGGGATTAAGCCCCGTCCGAGGAGTTCTATGCATGTCGGCGAGCCACCGCCGACGGTCGGCAATGCCAAATGTGGCGCATACCTCAGAACGGGAAGCCAATCAATCACCTTGAAGCGATCTCCTCGGATATTGAGACGTGGATGACGTTGTCAACGAAGGACATAATGCCTGGCACGGAAAGTGATCTTTTCGGGTGCTGAGCAGTAGATAAAGCTGTGAACGAAGGATATGACTGAAGGCACGGAAGAGACCGCAAGGCACGGAAGAGACCAGGGTAGAGACTTTGTCTTAATCTTATTGTGTGTTGTAAGGGAAAACACGGTGCAGGTCCGTTGTCCGAATACGTCTTGCAGATACATCGTTTTAAGTAGGATTCGTGCAAGGACTAATCACACACATATTGGATTTATAACAATTACGGATTTTTTTTAACTAGAATTCATATTGCATACTTCCCATGAACAGTGTGCGTACCAAATGTATCAGGATGCATGAACACCTTGCGTATATTGACGGTCTTCGACCTGAAGTGACTCGTGATGAGCCAGCGCATGGACGGTAAATGGCCTGCACAGGCAATCAGTCCGGATGTGTTCAGCTCTTGTTATTGTTGTTAGTTAATTGACCTGCGCGCCTGACCTGTGGCTTCTCTGAGGGGCACAGCGACGGGAAGTATGGGCGGAGAGCACGGCACCCTTTAAAACCAAAGGTTAGGCTCCGGACAAAGTTAGAGATCAGCGTGATGCCTTCTTATCCAGCTCCTCCCCCCCCCCCCCCCCATAAGAAAGTTATGGCTGCGCACTGTCTTTTTCCGTCTACACGCATCCAGTTGATATCACTGCTCAGTAGCGTGGAGTCGGTTGTGACTGGCAAGGGCTGTGACAGACCCTACCCTCACAGGCCGAGTACGTTTTGGACGCCACTGTCGTGTGATGAGTATCTTGCAGTTTTTAACCTTGAGTAACATCACAAAAGCGTCTGCCTGAACAATGGAATGATTCTCTAGGCCGCCACGAAGGCGACTATGTTTTTTTAGTTTCGGTTTTCTGTCAGTTGGTAATCTGATTCGTTTCCAGCAGCTAGCGACAATAGCGGCCTTTCACGACTACCCAACCCACGTCTCAACGGCGCACGGCTGCTCTAGTGCTGAATGGTAGTGTTGCATACGTTTTGGACCTCCTGCTGCACCAGTAAAGAACAGGGGATGGTTTGTGACACGCTGGTCACAGCAGTGCTCCATTCGCTGCGACTTTGGCCCATGCCAGCTCTGTGGGCTTCCTGCTGCTGCGTAAGCAGGCTTGATTTTGTTACCTCCATACTTCGTCCGCAGTGACTTCGTTCAGCTGGAACTGTTGAGTTTCCTGTTGTGTTGTGGGCTATTTTGCTTGCGTTTAAGCGCCTGTTGCAGTATGCCCATAGCCTGCCTGTTGCGATGTTCCTGTCCGCCGCGCCTTCGCATTGTTCAGATGCAGGCATTCCTCCATGCACAGTCGCATTCCCCCAAGTCTGATGAGAAGGTATCCTGTCACCTTCTGCAAGTTATTGCAGGCATTGCACCTTTGAACTCGACTGACCCCGTACCATGCCCTCCGCTGTCTAAAGAGAACATCGACTAACACAACCGAGTTGAACGAATCGCTGTAGCCGCGCGGTGTCGTCGGGTGCGGCCGTGACGCTGCGGTTCCTGCGGCGCCCCAGCCGGCGGGCCGGGCTCTTAAACATCTGTTCTCTGCGCTCGTCGCCTAAGTGACATCGATACGCTAAACTCGGACACAGCTTAGGCTAAAGTGCGATGAATTTTCAATTTAATCTCCTGGAATGAAAAATATCTAAGCAGTTTTTCTGGATATTGTTCTTGCAGCACTCCAACTCCTTGAAACCTTGGCTCTCAATAAGCTGAGGTGAATGACGACTGCTCGTGGAACTCGGGGCACCCAGATTCAGGGCGTATGCGCGTTGAAATTAAAGCTTGTCACACTGCCACCTGTGCGCAGAACCTGCTGGACGTAACGCACATGTTTTGCACTTGGGTCGGTGGCGCTCTGAAGCCGCCTGAGCGCCGCCGACATGGGTCGCGGCTGCCTCGCAGCCAGTGAGCAGCCATGGTAGCGGCGCGCCTGCGAGAACTGGATGGTTTGACGCAGCTGTGCTGCGCAGCGAGCAGTCGCGCTGACCTGAACGTCTCGCTGGTCGGAGAGCATGTAGCGCACGCTCCGTAAGTGAGCCCTGTGGCTGACTCAGCAGACGGTGCTGGTATCTGCCCGCCGCTGGCCGAACGACCAGCCCGACCGTTTTAGGCCACAAGCAGAGTCATGATCACGATAGCCGTACCCGGCAGCTCCCGCGGTAGGCAACAGCATGGGTGCTGTGCAGCTGTGCGGCACGGCGGTGACTCAGCTGAAGTCCAGCACGATGGCGCCGTTTTGAGAGGCACTCACGGTCGGCGTGGATCGACTGCCGATGCGCACTCTAGTCAATGGTCGCAGCTGAAGACGGTGGCTTTGGGCGCTGCAGCGGCTGCCATTCATAGCGCGCCTGTTGGTCGGATTGACCTGCCCCGGGCGTCCGATATGGAGCTCTGCCGGGCACTGTAGTGGCATTCCAGCTGTAGCCTGCATTATACATGTGCACTGCAGGCCCGTTCATGCAGCTCAAATCTGGCGCCGTCCGGTGTGTCTGGTGAATCGAGCGGCTCTGCGAACCGGCCGCTGCCGGCTGACTTTGCCTGATGCATGCATGTGCTCGGCTGGTCGTTCGTCCAGATTTGTGCTAATGTCGGGTTTCCCACTGTCTGAGAGCGCGTCGCAAGGTGTGACGACTGGACAGACCTCGGGCCCACATGCGTCGCAACATCCAGACCGGCCGCACGCGACACGGCTAGCAGGGACCTGCCGCACACTGCACGGCTTACAGAGACTTGTCGCACATGAAACGGCCAGCAGAGAACTGCCGCACATGGCACGGCCTATAAACAACCCTCACAAGCGCACTGCCCCCACACTAGAGCCTGACCTAACTGCCTTGTGTTCCAGCAACTACAATTTCCTGGCGGACGGGCTGGCCAGCACGCTGGGCGTGCCGACGGCACCCCTCGGCTATAGCTTGGCCAGGAACAACGTCAGCGCGGATATCGCGCGCAAGCTCGCCTTCCGACACCGGCGGGTCAAAGAGCTCTACAACATGTACAGGAACAACGTGGCAGGTGAGCCCCGGCAAGTGGGCGGGGCGGCGACATGTGACAGCGCCATGCCGGTGGTCGTCTCGATTCGCTGTTCGGTTTTGTGTACCGTCTGTTCCAGCGGAATGCTGGAGAATGCGCTGCACGGGGAATTCTTGCGACCACACTTATGTGCTGGGCATGTGGATAATACGTCTTGGAAGTAAATATGCCAGTCTGCTATGCTAGCGGTTTTATTCTAACATTTTTCAGGACTGGCCATCACAGGAATGGTTTAGGCAGAAGGAAGGATTTTCCAGGATTTGATCGGAAACCAATGCTAGGGACTTATCTGGTGAAAGGCTTGATCATTTGATAAATAAGCAACGCATTAAATGCACTTTGGCTACTCTGTTATTGGCCTGTCATCATCTCTGCGCCTTTGTCACGCGCAGCGGTGTCACATGAGACCATTAGACAAGTTCGGACTGACACGCAACTCTCCGCAGACGGCCCCGAGTGACCACCCCCTCCCCTCGGTACGCTATGCTGACCCCAGTGCACTACACCGATCCCAGTGCACTACGCTGACCCCAGTGCACTACGCTGACCCCAGCGCACTACGCTGATCCCAGTGCACTACACCGATCCCAGTGCACTACACCGATCCCAGTGCACTACGCTGACCCCAGTGCACTACACCGATCCCAGTGCACTACACCGATCCCAGTGCACTACGCTGACCCCAGTGCACTACGCTGATCCCAGTGCACTACGCTGATCCCAGTGCACTACGCTGACCCCGGTGCACTACGCTGACCCTAGTTTTGAGATGTATTCATCGCTCAAGTCTCAGACAGCCTGGTGAAGTCGCTGTCGGTTCGAACGCCGCCAAAAAAGCGTTGAGTTCTCTACACGCACGCACGCACGTACGTACGCACATACACACGCACGCACACACACGCGCACGCACGCACGCATACGTGCACGCATACGCACAAACACGCCTGTACGCACGCACGCACTCGCACCCGCACCCGCACCCTCACCCGCAGCCCACACAGAAAGGAACTGGGACCGTCTGAATGCTCCGCGTGACTCCAAAATTTCAGTTGTCAGCCATAGTGAGAAGTCAACACAAGGGCTATGCAGCGAGATTTCGCGTGCGAGGCGTGATCTTAGCTCGCTAGGTTCAGTTGTTCTCGATTATTGAAGAATGCAGGGTAATTATTTTAACGATACAGAAGTAAGGACCCACATGTGGCGAAAATATATAATCAAATACATTCCACTCAACCACGCAAATGGTGCGTGGTTGAGCAGGTCAGCATGTGACCAGCGCCAGCGAGGTCCATACAGCTGTGCAGCCGATCTGTGGCTGTGGTCCGGGTCTGCCGATCTGTGGGTGGGGGCAGGGCCTGTGGTCCCGGTCTGCCGATCTGTAGCCGCGGCCGGGTCTGTGGCCCGGGTCTGCTGATCTATGGCCGCGGCCGGGCCTGTGGTCCGCGTCTGCCGATCTGTGGCCCGGGTCTGCTGATCTGCCGGAGCTGCAGCGCTCACAAGCGCGTCAGCAGGCGGCTCACGTACTCGGCCAGCCTTGGGCGCTGGTTCGCCGGCCGGCCGCCAGGCGGCGGGCAGCCGGCTGCGCGACCGTATCAGCTCCCAGGTGCCGGGCCTCTGCCGCCGCTGCATATCGGGTGGGAAAATGCCTCGGGACGGGTGATCGGGGGGGGGGGGGGGGAGGGAGGCGTGCGAAGCCAGGCGTGGTGCCCGACGGTGGTGGTGCGGGCTCAGGGGTTCCGCCGCCTGGATCAGAGGTGCTCCCGGGCGTGAGTTCCGGGGTCAAGGGTTGGCTGAAGTTGAGGCCCGGTCTTTTTGATCACCGTGACTGGACCGGTATTTGTTTATTCGTCTTGTCTGCTTTCAGAGAAAGCAATACATCGCTTTTCAATGCTCACAATGGCGTCCTTCGCTTGGTCTCTTTTGATGAATGCTTTCCCACTTGGAGTTCATCTCCCCATCGCCCTCTAAAATTACGGTCAGTCTTTTCGACGTCCGTGCATAAATTTACTGGACCCGGTACTCAGTGTTTTAGGCGTTCCATCACGGTGCCTGATGCCACTCAATATCCTGGGTGGTCATGGCCTCTGCATCGAGTGCTTCTGCCCTTTCCATTGGTGATCGGGTCAGGACCGTGGCTCCTGCCTGGACACCTCGTGAACTGCGGAGCGTTGCACGGCGTGACTGGCCACCTGACAATAGGTGTCCACCTGACAATGGGCTGCACTAGGTGACTGGTTACCTGCTAGTGGGCTGCACTGGGTGACTGGTCACCTGACAATGGGCTGCACTAGGTGACTGGTTACCTGCCAGTGGGCTGCACTGGGTGACTGGTCACCTGCCAATGGACTGCACTGGGTAACTAGTTACCTGCCAATGGGCTACACTGGGTGACTAGTTGCCTGCCAATGGGCTGCACTGGGTGAATAGTTACCTGCCAATGGGCTGCACTGGGTGACTGGTCACCTGCCGGTAGGCTGCACGTGCGGCGATGACCGGCGAGTGACCCTGGGTCTCGCTCCCACCCGCGCCGGTCGGCTCCAGCCGTTCATTGCTTCCTATCACCGCGAAAGAAAGGAACGCATTTGACGCCTGCAGTTGTTGTAGAAGAGATAGACGAACTGTGTGGCACGTGTTTAGCCAGAGCTGCTTGTTGTGGGGGACAATGCGGCTGGGGTAAAAATATAATATAGGCCACCTGTCGAAAATGGCGTGCGTTTTTACGCATCTATTAATTAGTCTATTAGCACCATTGCAGCTGCACCACGGCTCATGCAGTCTGCTCTCTGGGTTGTTCTTAGTGTCAGATGTGTAGTTTTCAACAGTTGTCATTGAAAATGAGTACTGAATCAAGGCTATTGCGCTGTGCTACGGTACGAATCACGTAACTTCGTCATCTATTTAAGAAGAAACCACACTCTACGTGCACAACAGTCGTATATCCTTCTGTCGAGGTAGCTTTGCCCGCTCAGCTCGGTCGGTCCCGGCAGCCTTTGATGCTACCACGTTTGTCCAGGTATTTTTTCCATCGAGGTAGCTCAGGTGGGTTTGATATTTTGTCTTCCGATTCACCCACCCCTGGCGAGATGGGCTCGAGTAGCTCTAGGCTCTCTGTGTTTGCGGGGGGTGGGCCTGCGGCCGGTGACAGTAGCCGCGCTTAAGGTCAGGTGACGTCACAGGGCAGGATTGACTGTACTGAGCATTGTGTCATGTTAAGCTTTCACCGCAAAATTCTGCCGATGACCTGGGATTTCGTGACCGGATGGTGGCCTCTGGGCTCTTGCAACAGGCACCGCTCAGCATCGTTGTTCATCCTAGAAAACCGACCAGTGGAGATGTTCGGACTAAATCTTAAACATTTGAACAGAATAACTTGGTAACGTGTCGGTAAAAATACTTATTTTTCACGTCGGTGCCATAAATGACCTGTCCATTGCTGGCGTCTGAGAGATGGACAGCGTTGCGTCAGCTGATTTAGCAGAAAGTACGCGGTGGCATCAGCCCGAATTTTAAAACGCTATTTCGTACGGATGAGCCGAGCAGAACATGCCACTACCATTCAAGCTTCACCACTTTAATTCTTTGTTGCTTGAACTAGCCCAGTTTAAGGAAAAAAAACACAAAGGCGAACTTCAAGCTACGACAGATTTGTGGTGGAGCCGACATGCCATGGACTGCGAATCAGCTGTTCTTGGTCGTTCGAATTCGTCATGCCGTAACCGGTTGCTCTGATCCGGTCTGTTCCTGCCAGCGGCCGGAGTGGACCACGTCCGGTCCCCCGGTCAGGGCCCGCCGGTCAGAGCCCGCTGGTCCGCCGGTCAGAGCCCGCCGGTCCGCCGGTCCGCCGGTCATGGTCCGCAGGTCCGCCGGTCAGAGCCCACCGGTCAGGGCCCGCCAATCCTCCGGTCAGGGCCCCACGGGCAGCGTCCATAACGCCTGCTCCGCGGCAACCCCACGTCACCCTGAACCGAGTCCGGCCGGCGCCAGTGGGGGCTCGACCGGGGCATCTGCCACGGCCGGCGGCGGCTGGCGACCGATCCATATCACTGCAAGGTACGCCAGCATGATCCGGGACGCAGCCGGACCGTGCCGAGCGCCCTCCATTGTTGGATCATGCCAAGCGCCCTCCATCATCCCGTCCGCAATGCGCGAATCGCACTGATCTCCGCCGACGCCATCCGATTACACGGGCGTTACGCCGCCGGGGCGCAGCTAGGCGCGTCCCATTCATGACTACGGCGCCGATCTGCGCGAGGTACATACGCCGACCGTGTGGCACGCCGGTCAGGGGCCAGCGCCGGCGAGTCAGACCCGGTCCCGAGAGAACTGGTCCGGTGGTCGTGGTCGGTCCGCCGATCTCCTGAGGCCGCTCGGGCAACACGCGCTTCCTCTGGTGACGGTGAGCCCCCCTCCCCCTTCTAAGACGCCGGTGATGCAAGCAGCGGGAAGGCCGTTGCACCTGGGGTTGTCACAAACCAAAGCTTCCATGCACGCGCCGCCAGTGTCACAGGCTGGTCCTGTCTTCTTCTGCGCTTGGTTCGGATGGCTGAGCTGCCACTGACCTCGTGCTCACAATGCAGGATTGTCTCGGGCTCTCAGGGTGGCTTAGCTTCTGTTGTCCGTGATCGAATGCAATGCTGTCCTTCACACAGGCCCTATTGTTAAGACGCAAACGTGCGGCTGGGAGTCGACACGACCGCTGACTCAGGATGGACCGTCTCTTCCAGCTGTACGTGAAAGCTGGGCAGCTTTTCTCACCGTTTCCTATTTCGGGAAATGCCCAGCGATTCTGGGATACTAAAGTGCTGAAGAGTTTTTAGCCGCGGCGAGGCACCATCGTCGTCTTCAGGCGAAGCGGCGAGGCACCATCGTCATCTTCGGGGGAGCGGCGGGGCACCATCCCCGTCTTCGGGGAAGGCGGCGAGGCACCATCCTCGTCTTCAGGGGAGCGGCGAGGCACTATCGTCGTCCTCGTGGGAGTTGCGAGGCACCATCACCGTATCGGGGAAGGCGGCGAGGCACCATCCCCGTCTTCAGGGGAAGCGGCGTGGCACCACCCCGGCTTCGGGGGAGGCGGCGAGGCAATATCCTTGTCTTCAGGGGAGCGGCGAGCCACCATCCTCGTCTTCAGGGGAGCGGCGAGTCACCATGTCCGTCTTCGGGGGAAGCGGCGAGGCACCATTCTCGTCTTCGAGTCCTAGCCGTTAACCACAGAGAGCTGTGAAGGTGTATGACAGGCTTCTGGAGCGGACTTTGAAGCAGTCTCTTACCAATGCGCGGCGTGGATGCGGCCCAGTTTTTGCGTCGGTCATGGCGTCGCTGGAGGTCAGTCAGCCTTGGGATCTCCTCCCAGCTCTCCAACGGGGGTCACCAGAGCACCCCGCCTCCAACCGGGCCGTAGCACCACAGCTTCCACGCTACCCCTGCATCGACGAGGGCTTCACAGCCAGCGCTAAACCTTGACGTGCCGTAAAAGTCGCGGGCGTGGTAACGGCGCGATGGCGATCCTCACCTTTCGCGCTGGCGTCAGCCGCCGCCATCGGGCCGGTGTCATCGCAAATGTGTCAAGGGCACGGGCGTGGGCTCGCTCTGACCCGCGTGGGGCGCAGGACCGCGCGCCAGCAGCCGTCCTGCGGCTGCCCGTGTACTGCTCTGGGCCCTGGACACGGGAGCAGGTCCTTCGGCTGTGAATGCCGCCGATCAGTGTGTGCGCTGGCAGAACGCTCCCGTATAACAACTGGCGCACCGCGCGCCGGCGGGGGCCGTGTGCAGTCGCGGCAGCAGAATTAAGACGTCGCGGTTATGACGACGGTCAGACGCGGTGTCATGAGGTGGCACGCGCGGCCTTCGGGCTGGTGCGGGGGCCCAAACGCGAGGCTTACAGGCTATTGCGTGGGCAACGAAGGCTCCCTGGCATGCTGATCAGGGCCGCCCGGAGCTTCCAGTCGCCTCTGATTGGCGTAGTTCTGACCGATGTTGGCTTACCAGCCTCCTCCGCCGCGACGCTCCGGCTGCTGGGAGGGGGCGTTTTATCAGTGAACACATTGATTCATGCGGTCACGTTGTCAGCAAAGCCAGTTTTCGAGGCAGTATCCCATTGTGTATTCTTTTTAAGCCTCGACCCTAATGGTGTTTTTGGTACCAGTTACCGCTAATTTGTGACGTCCTCCGTGACATCACAACGAGACAAATGTTGGCGCTGAGATCCTGGACGAGAGGACTTTGAGGCTGGGGGCGGCGTGTAAACGAAGCAACGTCCGGGCACCACCGTTCAATGCGATGCTGCCGCAGGGGTTGGCAGCGCGGAGACAAAGTAATGATGCATGCTAAGATGTCCCGACCCCTGGCCAGGTATGCCAGCCCTACGCCAGAGGCTGGGATTGGCACATTGCTAGGTGTTCCGAGCCCTGGCCAGGTATGCCGGCCCGTACGCCAGGAGCGCTGGGATTTTACGCTGGGTCAATGCCACGCTGGTGCGATCTGACACGTCCCTTCTCCTGACCGCACCGTGTGCGGCTGTCACAGGCCTCGCCGAGTCCGCCAGTCACGAACGCGTAGCAACTCAGCTCTACACAGGCACGGATTCCGGATGATTGTTTCGCAACTGCTGACAGAGCTTCATATTGGTTTCAGTTTGGTAACTCAAACGTACATATCTTGTGCTCATATTGGTGGCACTGCAACGGTGCCGTTTTTAGTCCCTTGAAGCACTCGGATGCCGTATGGAGTGCGTTTTTAGTTGTGCTCAGTAAATTGGTCGCCAAATCTGTGCACGCCTCCGCATTTTATCGCCATTTTATCTCTTGCGTGTAGCCAAGTCTTTTGACGCTGCTAGTCAAACCTTTTTGCGTTATACCTCTGGCCATTCAATGCAGGGGGACTTCTGCATTATAATATTCAGGTTGAAATTAAAGTGGTTATTTTCGTGCATCTGGTGGTTTCTACCTTCCATTTTCGATTTCCTTATATCATATTACATCATAACACTGGTGACTGTGACTTTATCTGTCGCAACTCTATGTGAGGCCAGGACTCGAGACTGCAAAGTATGTGGTGACAATACCATGGCCAGGGACTGCCGTTTGGCGCTGGTCGTCACCCCTGCCGGCAGGGCTGCTCTGGGGATGTTGGTCGTCACCCCTGTCGGCAGGGCTGTTCTGGGGGTGTAGACCGTCACTCGTGTCGGCAGGGCTGCTCTGGGGGTGTAGACCGTCACTCGTGTCGGCAGGGCTGTTCTGGGGGTGTAGACCGTCACTCGTGTCGGCAGGGCTGTTCTGGGGGTGTAGACCGTCACTCGTGTCGGCAGGGCTGCTCTGGGGGTGTTTACCGTCACTCGTGTCGGCAGGGCTGCTCTGGGGGTGTAGACCGTCACTCGTGTCGGCAGGGTTGCTCCGGGGATGTTGGTCGTCACCCCTGTCGGCAGGGCTGTTCTGGGGGTGTTTACCGTCACTCGTGTCGGCAGGGCTGCTCTGGGGGTGTTTACCGTCACTCGTGTCGGCAGGGCTGTTCTGGGGGTGTAGACCGTCACTCGTGTCGGCAGGGCTGCTCTGGGGGTGTTTACCGTCACTCGTGTCGGCAGGGCTGCTCTGGGGGTGTAGACCGTCACTCGTGTCGGCAGGGTTGCTCCGGGGATGTTGGTCGTCACCCCTGTCGGCAGGGCTGTTCTGGGGATGTTTACCGTCACTCGTGTCGGCAGGGCTGCTCTGGGGGTGTTGACCGTCACTCGTGTCGGCAGGGCTGTTCTGGGGGTGTTGACCGTCACTCGTGTCGGCAGGGCTGTTCTGGGGGTGTTGACCGTCACTCGTGTCGGCAGGGCTGCTCTGGGGGTGTTGACCGTCACTCGTGTCGGCAGGGCTGCTCCGGGGATGTTGACCGTCACTCGTGTCGGCAGGGCTGTTCTGGGGATGTTGACCGTCACTCGTGTCGGCAGGGCTGTTCTGGGGGTGTTTACCGTCACTCGTGTCGGCAGGGCTGTTCTGGGGGGTGTTGACCGTCACTCGTGTCGGCAGGGCTGTTCTGGGGGTGTTTACCGTCACTCGTGTCGGCAGGGCTGTTCTGGGGATGTTGACCGTCACTCGTGTCGGCAGGGCTGTTCTGGGGGTGTTGACCGTCACTCGTGTCGGCAGGGCTGTTCTGGGGGTGTTTACCGTCACTCGTGTCGGCAGGGCTGCTCTGGGGGTGTTTACCGTCACTCGTGTCGGCAGGGCTGTTCTGGGGGTGTTTACCGTCACTCGTGTCGGCAGGGCTGCTCTGGGGGTGTTGACCGTCACTCGTGTCGGCAGGGCTGTTCTGGGGGTGTTTACCGTCACTCGTGTCGGCAGGGCTGTTCTGGGGGTGTTTACCGTCACTCGTGTCGGCAGGGCTGTTCTGGGGGTGTTTACCGTCACTCGTGTCGGCAGGGCTGTTCTGGGGGTGTTGACCGTCACTCGTGTCGGCAGGGCTGCTCTGGGGGTGTTGACCGTCACTCGTGTCGGCAGGGCTGTTCTGGGGGTGTTTACCGTCACTCGTGTCGGCAGGGCTGTTCTGGGGGTGTTTACCGTCACTCGTGTCGGCAGGGCTGCTCTGGGGGTGTTTACCGTCACTCGTGTCGGCAGAGCTGCTCTGGGGGTGTTGACCGTCACTCGTGTCGGCAGAGCTGCTCTGGGGATGTTGACCGTCACTCGTGTCGGCAGGGCTGCTCTGGGGATGTTGACCGTCACTCGTGTCGGCAGAGCTGTTTCGGGCGCATTTGCACGGTCGGCACCCATCGTTCGAGCACACGTGGACCAAGACGCGGCAGGACCTGGAGATGGAGACCAACGGCTGGCTCACACAAGCGTGCTCCTGCCTGAAACTCATCCAAGAGAGGTTAGTTCGATTTGATCTTGCCGGGAGCCCACTCGGAAGAGGTCCGGGAAGTTTTTCGAGGACAGGTACATTCAGCGCGTTAGCCTCTGATCCGCAACACTCGGGCTTAGCACTTAACTGTCCAAAAACGAGCAAGAAGGCTACCCATCTGCATCTTCCGGTTCGCCTCTTCTTGTTGCCGCACAAACTTTTTACTAGACATTGTTCTCGCCAATGATGATAGATAGCTGAGAGGAGATCGGCTCTAGCTGGCAGGCACTATGGTGGGATTCGTGGACGAAGGATCTGCATTTTGAGGAGCTACCCAGCAATGCTTCTGTAACGACAGGCATGCATGTGAACCTCGAAGTGTTTAATCTTGCCATCAAATTAATGTTCGACTGGCTTTATAAGTTGCTCTTCTGTAATAGATTGGGACGCATGGCTGTAATAACGCCGTACCGGGCTGTCGGATGAATTAAAAAAATATATTGGTCTTCGACATAACGCATCATCCAAGATCAGTGTAGAGAAGCATGCGTTGTACGGGCGTTCTATGATCAGCTTGCTAATGAGGCGCTGTGCCAGCCGTTGTGATGCTCAATGTGTTTGGAATTCTATTTATTTCTCTCGTGAGATACCGCCCGGTTCGCCCGCGGCCCCGCGAACCCAGGCGTGCCGTCAACATCCTCTCATGAGGCGCCGTCCGGCCCGTCCGCGGCCTCGCGAGCCCAGGCGTGCTGCCAGGCGTCCTCTCGTGAGATGCCGTCCGGTCCGCCCGCGGCTCCTCGAGCCCAGGCGTGCCGTCAACGTCCTCTCGTGAGATGCCGTCCGGTCCACCCGCGGCTCCTCGAGCCCAGGCGTGCCGTCAGCGTCCTCTCGTGAGATGCCGTCCGGTCCGCCCACGTCGGCTGAGCGGTACTCGAGCCGTGCGCGTCACTTCCGGCACGTCCTGTCGCGGCCCGGGTGACGTCACCGGGCGCCTGGACCTTGGCCGGGGATCAGCGCGGCGTGCTTCTGAAGCCAGCCCCGCTCATCGCCCTGGGAGCAGGCCGCGCCGGGATCACACGCAGTGCTGCATCGGCTCATGGTCCGGCGCACTGGTGCTCCCGCGGCTGGGCGCCGGATGTGGCACGTTGTGAATATTCATGGTCACGATGCGGTGACACGTTAAATACGCCTGACAGACAAAATGCTGTGGGAATCGGGCGGCTGCCTTGACGGGCCGCTGTGACACGTCGGAGAGCCGATGTCTGTTCCGCGCGTCATGTGTAAATGCCATGCCAGGCCCTTCTCGCCGTTGTGGCATGTCTTCCGCGATGCACTTTTTGCTATGACCGAATAAGCGTACGTACGATGCACACTTTCGAGCCATATCAGGCCGAGGCTCTTTTGCCCTTCGGTGCCAGGCTGAGCGTAGGCCGTGCAATGTCACTGCATCAAAGGTTGCTGCGGGCTTCTAAAACATTGGTAGTAAACTTCCAAACCCCTTTCACTACGGGAGCCTGATATCTTGCTTTAAAAGGAGAAGGATTTTGTGCCGCGAGCGCAAGTCTTTCCCACACAGGGGGATCATTGTTAAAATACCGGAATATTTTTTGCAACAGACTGTTCAGCAGACTCCTGCAAGGAAAACGCAACTCCTGCAAACTTTCCACTAGAAGGATAAGTTAGCTTACTGTTTTGTCGTAATCAGGGATTCGAATTCAGCATTAGACGTTCAGTGGTTGATTGTTTGTAGTGTTGCATCATCATGGTATATTGGATGCGGTTAGCAAAACAGTTGCATCAAGCGTGCCCAGAGCAGTTCACGCGAACTGCAGCCAGCCTTAACGCGTTGCCCGTAAAGTCGCCTTAGTCTGTAGCCCCCACACTCCTTATACCAAGCCTAATAGCGTCTCAAATGCGGTTGATAGACTGGGAATGCCGCTTCTGAACAGAGCGGACCCGTGGCGCAGGTATGCCGCCCGACCGGTGAGCCGGCGGCGGGATGGAGCGGACCAGCAGGCCAGTCAGCCGCAGGGCCGGCCTGCACCGTCGTAATCAGGAACATCCGCCACCGGGGTCGCCGCTATTGCGTCAGCGGAGCTGTGTGCCCGCCGGCGCCGTGTTGACATGTGACGGCCGATCGCTGACGCCGCTCTCATCTCCGTACCACGGCGGCGGCTCCCTGCGTCACCGACACCGCTCTCATCCCCGCACCACGGCGGTGGCTCCCTGCATCACTGACACCGCTCTCATTCCCGCACCACGGCGGCGACTCCCTGCGTCACTGACACCGCTCTCATCCCCGCACCACGGCGGCGGCTCCCTGCGTCATTGACACCGCTCTCATCCCCGCACCACGGCGGCGGCTCCCTGCACCACTGACACCGCTCTCATCCCCGCACCACGGCGGTGGCTCCCTGCATCACTGACACCGCTCTCATTCCCGCACCACGGCGGCGACTCCCTGCGTCACTGACACCGCTCTCATCCCCGCACCACGGTGGCGGCTCCCTGCATCACTGACACCGCTCTCATCCCCGCACCACGGCGGTGGCTCCCTGCATCATTGACACCGCTCTCATTCCCGCACCACGGCAGCGGCTCCCTGCATCACTGACACCGCTCTCATCCCCGCACCACGGCGGCGGCTCCCTGCGTCATTGGGGTGCCACCCTGAATGAGGCCGGTGGACGCCATGGGCTCGCGATTTATTTGAGCGGCGTTGGCGAGCTGTCCGCTAAGTGACGGCAGTAGTAGGTTTTATGAGCTGCATGCCATGTGAAATGGCATGCAGCAGTCTGCCATCTGCCAAGTGAACCATCTGACATGGCAGCGAGATTGACGGCCAGACGTGAACATCCAGTCAAGCCTGGATCAGTATCGGCCTTGACTATCTCATGGCACCTTTAGACGTAATCGATCGTACTTAACTGTACTGGGTTTAAGACCCCCGTCGAGTGCTGGTCACCTAATCACCGTGTGACTGGTCACTGTAGCTTGGCTTTAACTATGAACAGCGGGTACTGGTTCTGGTGGTACAGGTACTGGTGCAAATGCACCAGTGCCTGTACATCAGATACAGGCGCACTCGGCCAACCAGTACCTGTATGTACATGAGGTACCCGCGCTGGTGTTCTGATTCACCTGGTCTAAACGTGACTGAATGGGGGTCCTTTATTATGACACAGTAGGACAAAACGCCAAGCACAGGACTCCCGGCGTGCGAGGGGCAGTTAGAGGCTCTGGAGGACAGCGCACCCTGTCACTGCGGGAATGTTAAGTGTACATAATACGGCTTTAGTTGTGCACACGGGTCTTAATGTTTTTTTTCAGCCTGCACGACACTGGTTCACCGAATGCTTGCGTAACCGTTATTGCAATTCGGTTTACCGTTCAGCAAGACATATCACAAAAAGATCATCTTGCAGAGCAACCTTGATAAGACGCCCCTGGCACTCTCATAATCCTCGTTAAAGCTGCCAGCCATTCTTCCTGGTTCTGACGCTGGCCGTCGCTCTACTGCAGGAAGCAGTGCACCAACGTGATGGTGACGCGGAACATGTTGATGACCACCTTCGCCAAGACGGTGGTCTTCGGCCTGGCTGACTGCTTCGAGCCTGAGAACATCTTCTCAGCGTACAAAGTCGGTGAGTGGTCCAGCGGTGACGGCACCTTTGCAGAGCATGTTGGCACAGATGGATGTTGTGTGCCGATGGTGGCTCCAGCGGCGCTGGTGGGTTTTGGTGACAACATGACTGTCGTCTGTGGATGCCAGTCTCTTGCCTTGGTAGCTGTGGTCACCTCTGGTGGGCACTGCGCTGTGTTTGTTTGGTTGAAATCCACCAATCATCACCGTCGCCGCATGACTAAATTATCTGGCTATGTTTACGGTGACGGTGATGGGTTTCTTCCTAACGATGGCACAGCAGTGTATTCGCATGACTTTCCCCGTCTGCATCGTACGTGGGGAGGGGCAGACACTGCCTCGGAGGCGCCCCAGCGCAGCTGTGTCAACATACAGGCAGGGGAGGGGGACGAGGGGGGTTGTCTGGAGGCGGCGATCCTGTGCTTCATTCAAGGTGGCCGCTTGCATTTCCTGTTCTCACGTGGTTCGGACGGGCTGCAAGGTCGGCAGAAAGGTCGGCCCGCCTGGCGGAGCAGCGATGCGAAGCTGCCGACGCTGGCCCGGGCCGTGCGGTTTGCGCCGATGGCTGACATTTGGTTGTCACATCGATGTCAGGCTGGCTGACACGGACCGTAATTTATTTGCCCCGCCATGACAGCCGTGGTTTGGCCTGCGGACGGCTGGATTGGGACACCCATGTGTGATGTCGCAGCTGTATGACCAGTTGATGACGGCACGTGGAGAACAACACACGTCCGACCATAGGTCAGCCAGGGCGCGCTGCACGGCTGAGTGTGCGATGCCCGAAGGCGCCACGCTCGTCACCAAGCTCGTTGGTTGTTACGAGACCGGTGCTTTCGGGTGCCGCAGGATTTGAGAGCTGTCTCAACACGATACGGCAAAAGTACGCCGAGAAACACGGGCGTGAGGTGATCTGCGTGATCATCGGTAAGCCGGACAAGCCAGACAGCCCGAGCATCATCACCGCCGCCCGACAGGTCAGTGGCCGCGCGGCACCAGCCTGGCTGCCCGGCAGCGCTGGTTCTGTGGGGCCGTGGACAGGGCGCAGAAAGGAGAGAGGCTGCATGCAGCGGCTGCGGAGCTGGGCTTGACCTCATAACCCGTGGTCAGACAGGCCAGCGGATGGGACCGGCCGCTGCTGAAGTGCTCTCCAACCGCCCTTACTAATCACCCAGCGTCTTGCTAGTCTCGAAATGTGATAAAAAAGTCAACCGGGTATTCGAAAAGTCCTTTCGCGGCCAACCTACCCTATCCTCTCTGAAAGCTAGAAGATCATAAACTGACCAAAAGACGTGCAGGATGTTCATTGATTTCTTCTCAGTTTCTTATCCCTAAGATGTGGAGACTTGTTGCCGTGATGCTTGTATATTGAAATGTGAATATTGTCAGCATATTACTATATTCGGCGTCACTCAAAGAACCATGACAGGCAGCATTCGGTTCCAGGCATTTGTTGCTATGGGTGCTTGTTGAGATATGCTTCATCGTTGATTGATTATTGTCTGCATGAGGAAATGTCATTGATGCTGACATAGCGCACATTTGGGATGCACACGTTGCAGAGGGTCAAGCTGTTAGAGCGAGGCGGCTGTAGGATTTCAAAGCTGTCTGTTACTCTTATAAATAGTGAGTAATAGTTGTAAATATGCTGATGTGTGTCGGTTCCATTAGCGCTTGCAAACGGCTGCTCCATGCACTTTTAATTGCAGTTGCGGATTTGAACGCAAGCTGGGCCTCAAAATGTGACTTGTAATTTATCTCAGAGTGAAAGCATTCAGGGGTTACTGCTCTTAATTCTACTCAGCACACGTTTCTGAAGGCCAGGCAGTGATGATATTCGGAGCCGTAATCGCTGATAGAGATGCGCGTGAATGATTTTGTGAGCAAACGACTGAGTATAACAAAATGCGGGGGTTACTCAGTGACACCGAGCTTGGCATTATGTGTGATAAATGCGGTCCTTCAGCTACCTAGGCCATGAAATCATACGTATGGTCGCCGGACGATGAAATAATGCACTGATGATGGGGTAAGGCAATTTAGAGCCGATTTACCAACTACTACGTTTCCTCCAGCTGTGACCGTTTGGTATGTTCCCTTTGCAGAGGATGTACTTGGCGCATGCCACTGGTATCCCAGCGATTGGGTACTAACCCAGTGGGAGACAAAACATGTTTGAGTGCGAGACATTGATCATCACAAAAGTGCGAAACATGCAGTACATCGGGAAATGTATGGCTTTATGATTTTGAAGCGCACGGCAAGTTTTTTGTCCTGAGCGGGTAACTAATTTTCGAAGCATCCATATTTTGAGGTTGAGCGCGTGCGGCGCCTCGCGCTCCTCGATCGCTCACTGCTCCGACCTTGGCTGGAGTGGCGGGTGTTTTGTCTCACGGACGGAGCCGGCGGCGGTCGTGCTCGAGTTGGTCGTTTCTTCAGCGGTGACCGACGACCGATCAACGGCGGAACCTTTCACTGGCGCGCTGACAGCCGATAGTGCGATGCGGCGAGACGGGCCGGTGCCGTGACGGAGGCGGCAAACAATGGCTGACGGGGGCGGCCACAACACGACGCGGGGCGAGCGTGGGGCGTCGTGGCGCTCGCGTCAAGATGCTGTCAGCGCGTCACCTTGACCACGGCAGTGCGTCGCCGTCGGCAGCGGGATGAGGGTACTGTCTCAGTGCTTCACTGCGGAATGTTGGAAATGACGCCAGTACGTCACAAAGATGGAAGGCGTAGTAATAAAGTGTTGCACTGATGAAGAGGAAATAGCGGTGCCATACACTGAATGAAAAGGCCGGAGTGGTGCCGAAGCGGCGAGTGACAAGCGAGTGGCGCTGACTGAAAGGGACCGTTCCGGTGGGCCTCATCAACCGTGGAGGCGACCACACAAACGTGCCAGCACTGTACAACTGGCAAGAAGTGAATGTGCCAGTGCGACTCACTGACTGGAAGTGAGAGGGTGAGAGCGGCTGCTCATCACACTTTTGGAGGCGTAGGGGTATATCCAGTAATTTTTGGTCGGGGGGGGGGGTATTTAAGTCAAAAATTGGCACTATAGAAAAACTCCCAAGCTACGCGCACTTGACAAGCGACCGCCCTCTTAAGACCAACAGCGCGACGAGTGCCCTCTGAAGACCAACAGCGGGACGTGTGCCCTCTGAAACCAAGCTTAAGAGGCCTAACAGCGGGACGAGTGCCCTCTGAAGACCAACAGCGGGACGAGTGCCCTCGGAAGACCAACAGCGGGACGAGTGCCCTCTGAAGACCAACAGCGGGAACGAGTGCCCTATGAAGACCCAACAGCGCGACGAGTGCCCTCTGAAGACCAAACAGCGCAACGAATGCCCTCTGAAGACCAACAGCGGGACGAGTGCCCTCTGAAAGACCAACAGCGGACGAGTGCCCTCTGAAGACCAACAGCGGGACGAGTGCCCTCTTGGAAGACCAACAGCGCGACGAGTGCCCTCTGAAGACCAACAGCGCAACGAATGCCCTCTGAAGACCAACAGCGGGACGAGTGCCCTCTGAAGACGAACAGCGGGACGAGTGCCCTCTGAAAACCAACAGCGGGACGAGTGCCCTCTGAAGACCAACAGCGCGAAGAGTGCCCTCTGAAGACGAACAGCGCGAAGAGTGCTCTCTGAAAACCAACAGCGGGACGAGTACCCTCTGAAGACCAACAGCGGGACGAGTGCCCGGACGAGATGTAAATGTTGAGCAGCAGGAGTTCCAGGCGCTTGCCTGGTTGCTGTATCAAAAGTCTTGGCAGCTCCTTCTTTTCGTTCCAACTTAACAGCCAGATGTGAAGCTTGGACCGCACGACCGGCACGGGGTCCCGTAACCGTGCGCATCGCTCCCCGGTCGGCTCCAGTGCCGAACAGCTCTTCACGCTCTCCGGAAGAACTCTCAGAGCCTGAGGGACTACTGCTGCGGCTTCCCAAAGCGGTCGTGGAGCTGGCTGAGCATGCTGGCTAGCGGGGAAAGAAGCAATTTATCCTGAAGTACTGGGCAGCATCGAAGTAATTGCCTCGGCTGACTCGTGGTACACTGATCTTGCCACGCTGCGGGGAGTAGCGGCATCGATTCGAAGGACCCGACCCGAAGGACGAAGGACCAGCTGTCTCCGCTGCCTTGTCCATCACGGACCCAAACATCTCCTCTGGCCTCGGGGCTCGGGATGTCCCTTTGTACTTCCGGCGTCCATCCGTAACATATTTTCAGACGGCCCCAGCGCCCTTTCAGTCGTCGGGGGTGCCCGTTCCCCCACCTTCCTAAGGTTTGGGGCATCTTTTAGTACTCATGTCAATAAAATATCGTGGCCCCGTTCGGGTTCGTGCCGATAGCCCCTCTATAGGCGCCGTTGTAGGGGTGGCGAAGGAGCCAGGGGCCTCTAAGGTCGCTAATGTTTCCAGATCGGGGGGGGGGGGGGGTGCACGCGCCTCCAGTGGGGATGTGCATTCGGTGTCCTCTCCCCCGCAACCACCCCAGTGAGGCGACCGTGTACGGGGCATCGGATCAGACGTCACCAGTGCGCCGATGCGCCTCACCGACCGAGATGTGGCCGTGCCATTGCATCACACGTACTGAAGCTGGCCTTACCCGTGCGTCACGCTGACTCCAGAATGGCATGCTGAAGGAGCACGCGACCAAAACCGCAGCGTTGCTGTGCTCCCAGCAGCCGCAGCGCCGTGTTCGTGACCCCCGGCGCGCGCGCGGGGGGCGGGAGAGGCCGGCTCACCGCGGCCGCCCCCTGCTCCTGCGCCGCGCCTCGTCCCGGCCGCGCCCCGAGCAGCCACGCCGCGCAGCGGTGCGACATCGCTGGCCGGATTGGCCGGCCCGCGGGCCTGCCGTGCCCATACCAAGCAGGCGGCTGGCGGACTGGCGGCGGGCGGGCAGCCCGGCCGCTGCAGCCTCGCCCTCAGCGCGCGGATCCCCGCAGCGCGCGGCCAAGCGCCGCGGCCGACTCCCACGTGTCTGCCGGGCTGCGTGCGGGCATGTCGGGTGCGGGACGACAATTACAGCATGCAAGGAAGATGGGCGCGGCTGGTGGCGGCGCCCTCCCCCCCCCCCCCCGCGTCGGTTGGCGGGCCCAGTCGGCTGTGCGCCGCCCAGTTGACGTGATCGAACGACGCCAATTGTTCTTGTGCTCGGTTTGCGGGCGCCGCTCAAAGAATGCGGCGGTGGCCTGGCCCTGACTGGCGACCCTTGCCCCCCCCCCCCGCGCGGGACCCCTGTGGCGGCCGCAGCGGCCCGGGTCGGCGGGGGCGCCGCCGGCCCAACGCCGCGCCGACCGCCGTCGACTCCGACACAGCGCCGGACGGCTGCGCGGCGTCGGTCGCGTGTGTCGAGGCCGACACCCGAGGCTGCCAGTCTTCTGGCGCTCCCCCGTCCGCCTCCCACCGTCCGATGCGTAATTTAACTGCAAATTCGCAGGTATTGTTATTGTGGGTGCCTTAATGGCGGCACCGAAGGCCGCGACCGTGAACCCGCGCCAGCCCGGGCCGGCGCGCCGTGTGTGACCGTGGCTCGCGCCGCTGGCCGGCGGTGGTGCGGAGTAACGGGCGCCCGGCCGCGCCCGGCAGCACCTCGTCTCCACCACCCAGTCTGTTCCGGCCTGCTCACTGGTGCCGAACGTCGCCCGGCTCTGTGGGCGACGGCCAGTTGGCGTGCCTTACGAGCCGCTGCCGTCCAGTTTTACTCCCGGACATTGTGTGGCAACCTCAGGGCTGCTGTCAACTCACGTCCAACGCGTATGGTTCCCAATGATCTGTTTATTTCGCTCCCTTAGCCACGGTAGGAGGCGTCGGCTAGACCGTTGGGTACGATCTCAATTATCAACGAGTTTTACGATGGGGGAGCGGTCATCATGACAACGGGGCTGAAATGCTATCCGAAGGCCGAGGTGTTAGACAGGTCATCTCAACAATCCCTGCAGTGAAACCGAAGCGCAGTCTACCCGTATCTTGGCTTCTCA